AGCCCCGGCAGCGCTGGCGAGCGCCGCGGGACAAAGCGCGGTGCGATGTTTGAAGTTAGTGCCGGTACGCCGCGGAGCGCAGTTCATTTGTGGGAGGAACAGCTTGTAGCTGGCACGTGGAGAAGTCCCGGACAGGTTTTGGGCTCATTGAATGTGTTTTTGGCTACCGGCGTGGTATCAATAGGAGATCTTCAGTAATCGGGGTGCAGGAACGGTGTGGAGGGTGGGGGAGGCTGTGCTCGGGGTGCCCGTCTCGTTTCAGTGGTGAGAAAGCCACATCTGAGCCTCCGGGAGCTCTGTGATCTCTTCAGGAGGTGAACATCTTGTTCTCTTGCTCTCAGGGACGCCATGGACACGACCGGCCACAGCGTCCTCCTCCTCCAGCAGCTGAACATGCAGCGGGAGTTCGGCTTCCTGTGTGACTGTACGGTTGCCATTGGAGATGTTTACTTCAAAGCCCACAGAGCGGTGCTCGCTGCTTTTTCAAACTATTTTAAGATGATATTTATTCATCAGACGAGGTAAGAACACACAGCTCTCCCTCCTACCTTTTAACCACTCTGCTCAAATTTCTGCTTTTTTCCCCTTTCTAAAGGTATTGGAAGTCTAAAAAAAGCTTGTGGAGAGTGTTTTCCTAACACAGCACACACCTTGGCTCTCCAACCATTACCAGTCTAGAACGTGCTGTCCTTTAAAACCACCCTCGTAGTCAGCATACACCAACGTTAGGCCCCACACATGTTGGAGATGAGACATATATGTGACCAGAAAAGATAAACATGTAAGTATCACTGTCATTTTGCAGTGAAAACCTCCAGATTTGCCATCTAGGGGTATCCAGGTGCCTCCTGCCCATATGCAGCATGTCCATTACTTTGCATTAGCTTGTAGGCAGGCTTGCTGGGTGGGACTGTCCCTTCTGGCAGGATCCACCAGCTTGTGGCAATCAAGAAGCTGTCGCCTTATCGCAGTTTTGCGCTTCAGACTCTTGCAGATAAGGGCCAAAACTGAGATCATCAATTTATTTCAAGCTGCTGTTCAGATGCTTCACCTGGCTGGGCCAGGAGTGGTTCTGCAGGTATAACAACGTCAGTGCCACAGTCTTATCTCACCTATGACCTGGAACTTGCTGCTTCTAATCGATTAAACCCTTCTCCATTCCACTTCCTTTCTGAGGGTCATGGCCCCCAGCACCTTTACAAGGTTGCCGCTGGCCGTTGGACACATAGCCCTTTGTCTGGAAGGGAGAAGATAATTAACTTGCTTCCCAATAGATGTTGTTTACTGACACTTATGTGCAAAGCTCATAAAGATGACAGAGTAGCAGCAGCTGAATTTCTCACTCAAACACACAAATATTCTTTGTCTGGTATGGTTGGAGTGGCACACGCCAACGAGGTGACAGGGTGACCGGGGCCGTCTGCTTTCACCGCCCCTGGCTGTGGTTGTGCGCATGGGCTTGGTAACCACAGGGATAAACAGGGATAAAATAAATAGGGATAAGGGACAAATGCCTGCCCGGGCACTCTGCTGTGCAGATGGGGCACATGCCCTGCTGTGGGTGAACCGGCAGGCGGGCAGCGGCCGCACACTCTGGCAGCAAACCGCGGCACCAGCGAACGGGCAGGTAATGATTTGATTTGTGATTTGTGATTTGGAGCCCTGTGTGTATTTAATCATCTGTCTCCTTCCAGCGAATGCATAAAGATTCAGCCTACAGACATCCAGCCTGACATATTTAGTTACTTGTTGCATATCATGTACACGGGGAGAGGGCCAAAGCAGACCGTCTGCCAGAGCCGACTGGAGGAGGGCATCCGCTTCCTCCATGCAGACCACCTCTCCCGTATCGCCATCGAGATGAACCAAGTGTTCTCCCCAGAGCTGGTCCAGTCCTCAAACTTGTATGGCATCCAGATCTCCACCGCACACAAAGCGGCGAAGGAGCGCCTGGGAGCGAAGGAGAGTCAGCCCAAGGCAGGCAGCAGGTCTGCTGCCCAGGGCGACCACCCGCAGCTGCAGCTCTCTCTGGCCATCGGCCTGGACGACAGCTCCATGGAGCAGCAGGTCGCTCGCCCCTCCGCTCAGCCCCCTGCTCTTGCCAAGCCAGCAGAAGAGCACCCGAAGCTCTCGGTCTCCATAAAACAAGAGAGGTGCGACTCGGAGCCCGTGGTGTCCCAGAGCTGCACCCCTCCTTCTCCGGAGGTAGCGAGCCCCATCTTTGCCAAGGCCAACCTGAAGGTGCACTTGTGTCACTACTGCGGGGAGCGTTTTGACTCCCGGGGGGGGCTGCGGCAGCACTTACACACCCATGTCTCGGGCTCGCTCCCGTTCGGAGTGCCGGCCTCCATCCTGGAGAGCAGCGACCTGGGGGAGGTGCAGCCTCTGGCCGAGGACAGGGAGGCTGGGGACGGGCACCGGCTCGGGGCCTTCCTCCTCAAGGAGGACGAGCATCAGCTGGAGCATCTGGGCTGCAGCGACCTGGAGCCTCTGCAGATCGGCCAGCTCTCCCTCATCTCCAAGGACCACGAACCGGTGGAGTTGAACTGTAACTTTTCTTTCTCAAGGAAGAGGAAAATCAGTTGCACCGTCTGCGGGCGCACCTTTTTCCGGAAGAGCCAGCTGCTGGAGCACATGTACACGCACCGGGGGAAGCAGCACAAGTTGGGGCGCTGCCAGCGCCTGGAGAGCCCCGCCACCCCCAGGTTTCGGCCCTACTGTGACGGCGAGAGCATGGGGAAGAGCTCTGGCTTATCCCAAGAGCAGTTGGATGAATGTATACTGGAGTCGGAGCTCATCCAAGAAAGCGTTGATACGATCCTGGTGGAGTAGTGCTCCCCTCGTGTAGCCTGCAGGTGCTGAAACTGGGTATTTTGCCATTTTCCACCTGGTGAGTGGCTGCTCTGTGCAGCTGGTTTTCTTCGACCACCATTCCCGTCACCTCTGGAGTAACTGTGAAGAACTGTGTACTTTGATTTGTGTACTTGCTTTTTTACTTCTCTAACTTTTAAACTCAAGCTAATTTCTAAGGCTTCCTTGGGAGTTCCCCTGTAACTCAATTACATATTTTGTTAATGTGAACTTATGCCTGCTTTGCTTTACTGGAGTTAAGGCTGTAGTGGTGGGTGTGAGATTTAAACATTGTCTACTATGCTGTGTGGTGCCTAGGACTCTTTGTACTCCATAGAATTGCTCTTCTGGAACTAGATGGAGGGAAATGTAGAGGGAAATGTGTATTGTGTTTCCTGAACAGTTTGTTTTTAATTAAAATAAATCTGTCAAGGAGATGAATCCTGAAGTTTGTGTTGTATAACTGCAGTTACCAAATCTCCATATAAATACACACAGGGGCTGTAAGGCTGATCTCTTCAAGGGAGCTGGCACCGTTGATGTAGGGGTGGCAACCTTCACTTTGACAATCCGTGAGGTCTTTGTCAGTAGAGTAATTTAATTTTACTTTTAGACTCAAGAGGTTTGCATACCTTTCTCCCTCATTCCTTCTCCTCCCTCGTTAGCTGCTACTGCATGAGCAGAGGCAAATTTTGTTGCCCCTCTAGGACCACTTCCCGTTATTGGACCATCTTCTCTGCAAGGAGGAAGGAAAGCTGCAAAGAAGTCTCCTCTTCTCTCAGAGAGGAGGCACATCCTAAGTCTTTACAGGATGAAATACTGCACACAGATTTTCTCACTGAAGATGGTTTCTGACTCTAAACAGCTTGGAGCAAACACATTCTTTAATATTACAGTCTGTATATTTGCTAAGAGCAAGCTTACAGTGTGTTATTTCTTCTCTGCTTGTGGACCCACCATAAAATGGCAAAATACAAACTTTTTGCCTTTCTTTTATCATTACTGGGTACCTGAAGAGTAATAACTTATCCAAGGGGTGTTTAAAATAGTACGTGTTCTTCTTGCATTCCTATTTTGTCCCTCAGTAGCCTTTCACCTGAGATACCTCAGGATTCCTACTGGTCTCCAACACATCCCTTAAGAGATGTTCTTAATCAGAAGGCCCCAAAGAGGCACACGAAATTCTTACAGCGCAGAGGTTTCTCTTGCAGTGACTAGGGAAAGCCTTGTGAGCTGCTCCTGTAATCTCATTACCCAGTTTTTGAGAAGCTGGAGGCTCCCTGCCAGTCCTGGTGGAGTTGAGTCATTGCCTTTGGAAAGGGGGAGCCCGAACAATGGTGAGAATAGTTTATTGTCAAAATGCCCGCTCCGAAGCTCTTTGTAGTCGGGACCCTTGAGCTGTCTTCTTTGAAACTGTCCTGGAGCAAGAGCTGCAATTAAATCACTGCTGAATTAAAAGACCATCTGAGGTCTTTGTAAGGGCGGCTGCTGCTCCTCCTGGGCAGGGAGCTGCACACTCCAGGGGATAGATCGGCCACTGAGGGCTGCCAAAATGTGTTTTAAGACAAAGGGGGAAAACAAACAGCCTCTGAGCCTGCCCGGGTGATGTTACAAAATGCACGCTGCGGTTTGGGGTGTGCTTGCCTGCTCGGCTGAGTGCTCCTCTCGCTGTGTGTACCCATTAAAGCTGCTCTTCTCAACGCCCCTTGAAAAGCCTTTCTTTAAAACAAGCAAACAAACAAAATCCTGCCGACATCCATGTCTGCAAATGCTGGAGCTGAGCACGGAGGGATTCACATCGAGCATTTCCTAGAAGAGGAGCAAATTCCCCGAGATGCAATCGCAACATCTATGGGATTTAGCATCAGCTAAATCACATCCAGCACAGGCTACTTATAACTGGGGCAAATGCCCTCTGGCTTCCACCGACCTCTATGTCTACATAATGGTTAAAAAAAAATAAAAATGCTATTTTATAATCATTCCCTTTTTGTGTGCGACACTTTACCGAGTGGGCTGGCTTCTCCGGGTGCTGCTTGCTTCACTCAGTACAGTTAACTGAAGAACAGAGAGGAGTGTCTGCTGGGTGGGGTATGGCTGTAGAGAAGAGCTAAAAGTGAGTTTGCAGATTATTCAGTCAGTAGATAAGCACCTTGGAACTTCAACTAGATGCCTAACTTGCCTGAACTAATTGATGTTGAAAGTAAAAGAGCCCCTGATGCCTCTGCAAAGATAAGTGGGCAGTGGTGATAGAGCTCAGTATGGGGGACAGCAAGCAGCAGTGCCCGGAGGCGTCTCTGGGACGTGAGATCTCTTCAGGTTTCTGGGCAGGATTGTTTTGTTCGCTTCTTGGCCATTAAAAGGGAGCTTTAACAAATAAGCTATGAATTCAGGTAGAAGATCCAAGTGTCTATCACCTATAGGTGCGTATGGTGTTGTAGGAGTGACTCCATTGTACTGACTGAATACATCAGTAAAGCTGAAATCATACTGAAATCAACACTGGGTTCATGTACGTGTTCCAAACGTTTTTTAAAAGTTACAACTGCCTAATTATTTTTATTGTCACACCCTCCTTTTTATTTTTTTTTTTGTGTGCTTTGGTTAAGCTTTGGGGCACCAAACATCTGTGACATCCAACACCTGTGAAAGGCATTTTTTGCATCATCTGCAATACAAGAAATGCATTTTCAGCAGTTTTCTGCTGCAAGCATTAAAGTGCAGTTGTAATTAAAGCAGTAGAAAACGCCTGAGAAACAGAAGTTGTCAGCTCTGAGTTACGTTAACTTGAAAAGATCATTCTCTTTAAGTCTTATGAATAGAAAATAGTTTTAGAAGACAGTTATGTTTGCTAAGCAAGGGCTGCAGCTGCTCCTGGACACATTGTAAGTTTTATTATGGTATGCCAAAGATATTTGAATTACTGAGTGCTTAACCTTTATGCTGATGCATGCTTGAAAACCTGCCTGACTTCCACAGCTGGACTTGGCAAATATTCATTTCTTGTCTTTTTTTTTTTTTTTTTTTTTAATGAAAACATAAAAGAATTCGTTGCAGTGTGCAGAATAACAATACTGGTGATTCCTTCTATGTATCTGCAAGCGGTTGATAGATGCACATGGGCTGAGGCAAAGAAAACCCCAGGGTGGTGGTACTTGAAGGCTGGAAGTTTAAAAACTCCAGGGAATCCCCAGAGCTTTGCCCTGTGCTGCAAAAGGGTCCCAGCATCAAGGGTGCAGAGCTGATGAACCACAGGCATTGAAATGCCTTGTCTGCAGGCCCTACAGCTCATATTTTATGAAAACATGGGCAGACTGGGACTCAGACCCCTGCCAAAGTCCCAAAACATGAACAGACTCCTCAGCCAACTCCAGTTAGCCTCTGAAGTGCCTGTAAGTGCAGCAATGGCTACCATCACTTTGACATGTATCTGGGTGCTGGCTTGAATATGCCACCTGTAGGTTAGCTGGCTCAAGAACCAAAGCATGCTCAACGATCTCAAAATAGGTATTTTGAAATATTTTTAGTGCTCTGATGCTGAACAGGCCAGGTCCAACAGGGGCCATGTTTCTTGGGCTGCTTAGGTTCAGTAAAGGGCATGGAATAAAGTGTTTATCCCCCCATGCAGCATGAGGTCCAGTTATTTTAGTGAGAAACTTGCTTTTCACCACCTGCAGTGATGGCTGGACATGCCATTTGGTAGTCCTTGTGCAATCAAAGTATTAGTCTGAACTTCTCCAGCATTTACTGGTGCCAGAGGAGTGAGACTTTGATGCCTGTCACTTGTGCAAGTTGTTCTCAGAAGGCAGCCCACCCCTTCTCAACATTCTCCTGCGAATGTTCACATTCTGCCTCCTCCACCTTGAACTTTTGGGTGTCTTGGGGAGAGTGATGGCCTGCTGGCTGCAAAGGAGGTGATGCTGATGGCTGGGCACGCTTGCCCCATGACCATGCAGGTTAAAAAAAACCCAAACACTTCAGCTCACTTTACCCTCTGTGCAGACGGTGGTTACAACATGACTTCAGCCATCTGGCTACAGCAGCCATTCGGGCAGGCTCTTCACTTGCATGACATCTATCAAATCCCTGGTGGCAGCAGCTTGGAGGAGTGCAGAAGGGCTGACAGCCTGTCCGTGGGTGCAGTGCCCTTCACCAGAGGGGTTTGCCATATTTGTGCACACTGAGAAGGTTAAAAAAGGGAAATTTGCTGTCAGGATGTAAACCTGAAGCACTGAAAATTGCAGCTAGAGACAAACCCATGACATACAACTCTCTTGAGCTTTCTAGAAAGACTGTAATGCTGATACTGAATAGTTTTCTACTATTTTGGAGGTGGAAGGTATAAATCCTGTGTAGGTGAAACCTTCAGAAGTGCAGTGAAAAGTGATCTCAGCAGATGAAATTCAGCATCATTGAACAGGACCATGAGCTACTAGTGGCCAAGGTGGGAGGTTTCTTCTTGGCTTGTCAAAGCCTTCCCATGTCGATCTAACAACAGCAGGATGTGCCACACAGCTGCAATCATCTTCAGCTTCCCCGTTTAGTAACCCCCAGACTTTTCTTTCCCTCTTTTGCCAGGGTATGCCAAAAAAGACTGAAACTGTGTGGACTTCCTATCAGTCCAGCACTAGGAAAATATATTCTGAGCAACAAGAAATCAGAGGGAAAAGGTAATAAGGATGGATCTACCCAAAATTACATGCCAGTTAGATATTTACAACCAGAGCTGTGTCAGGAGCAAACTCCCCAAGATGCAATCGCAACATCTATGGGATTTGCATATTTCATTAAGAAAGGTGATGGCACAACTTCAAAAGCAGCCTAGGAGAGGAAATGTTTCCAGCAACTGTTCACAACCCAGCACTGCACCCTCAGAACAAAGGTGCAGCAAAACTCAAAACCTTCTCTGCTCAATTAGGCTGGTTCTCACCTGAGCTGAGATGCCCTTGGGAAGCTCTGCAGGGCTCTGGGCAGCGTGGCAG